TGATTGGTTAAAAATCTATAGTCCTATGCAGTGTGACTGGCAGGCTAAAACATTACAGTTTCAGCACCCGGGGAAAACAGTGAAGCTCTAAGGCTTACAACAACCACCATTGGCTATGAGCCATATCTCAGCCAAGCAAGTTTTCAAGTCCATGAAAGGGAATGATATTTGGGCCTATGTCATGGTGGATAGCTCAACCACTAACAATTCAGCTCATGTCCATTCCAATCAGCAACAAGTTGATGATGTGCAGGACCTGTTACTCCAATATGCTGACATATTTCAAGATCCTAAGCATCTACCACCCCATAGAAGCTATGATCATGCAGTGCCATTGTTCCTAGATGCAGTGCCTGTAAATGCAAGGCCTTACCACTATTGTCCTCAACACAAGATAGAAATTGAAAATCAAGTCAAACAGTTGTTGGAAGTTGGTCTTATCACTCATAGCCATAGCCTATTTGCTTCTCCAGTGCTATTGGTAAAAAAGGATGGAAATTGGAGGTTCTGTGTGGATTATAGAAAATTGAATGCAATGACAATTAAAAACAGATTTCCCTTGCCCATTGTGGATGAAATTCTGGATGAATTATCAGGTTCCAAGCTCTTCACCAAGTTGGATATGAGATCTGGGTACCACCAGATAAGGATGTTACCAGAAGATGAATATAAAACTACATTCAAGATACACCAAGGTCATTACCAATTTAGGGTCATGCCCTTTGGTCTTACAAATGCCCCTGCCACCTTTCAATGCATCATGAACCAACTACTCCAACCATTCTTGAGGAAGTTTGTGTTGGTTTTCCTATATGACATACTAATCTACAACACTACCAGAGAGGATCACATTCAGCATATTCAGCAAGTGTTTGAGGTCCTGAGAGCCAACCAGTTATTTCTCAAAGCTTCAAAGTGCACATTTGCTCAACCAAGCTTGGAATACCTTGGTCACATTATCTCAGACAAAGGAGTGGCCACTGATCCAGCTAAAACAAGAGATATGCTACACTGGCCTACTCCTACTAATATGACTGAACTCAGAGCATTTCTAGGCTTAACTGGATACTACAGAAAGTTTGTCCAACATTATGGGGTGATTGCCAAACCATTTGTTGCTGTGCTCAGACTTAAGCACTTCCAGTGGTCTGCTCAAGCTCAAGAAGCCTTTGACAATCTCAAAGTAGCCATGACTACTACTCTTGTCCTGGCTCTCCCAGATTTCCACAAACAATTTCAAATAGAAACTGATGCATGTGCTTATGGGTTTGGAGCAGTATTGATGCAACAAGGACAACCAATAGCATATCTAAGCAAAGCTCTAAGTGAGAAACATAGGAACCTATCCATTTATGAGAAGGAATTCCTAGCTCTCATCATGGCAGTGGAGAAATGGAGACCGTATTTGGAAAGGCAGGAGTTTATTATTCTCACTGATCACAGATCTTTGTCCTACTTAAATGAACAAAACCTCCACTCTGAAATGCAAAGAAAAGCAATGACTCATCTAATAGGACTTCAGTTCAAAATCTGCTATAAGCAAGGAAAGGAAAATGTAGCAACCGATGCCCTCTCAAGGGTGGCTCATATGATGGCTCTACAAGCTGTCTCTCAGGTCCAACCATAGTGTATACAAGAAGTGCTAAATTCTTATGCTATTGATGTTCAAGCTCAAGAGCTGTTAGCCCAGTTGGCTTTGGCCAGTCCTAATGCAACTGGTTTTAGCTTGGATTAGGGACTAATCAGGAAAGGCACATTGATTTGGACAGGTAACAACTCAGCACTTCAAACTAAGTTAATTGCTGCATTTCATTCTTCTGTCATTGGGGGCCATTCTGGGGTCAATGCAACATATCATAGGCTCAAGAAACTCTTTCTGTGGAAGGGCATGAAAGCAGATGTGGATAGTTATGTGAAACAGTGCAACATCTGCCAGCACACTAAACAGTCCCATGATCACCCAGCTGGGTTAATACAACCACTTCCTATCCCAGCTGGTGTATGGCAGGAATTGTCCATGGATTTTGTGGAGGGACTTCCCAAATCCGAATGTTACAGTGTGGTGTTGGTAGTAGTGGATCGACTAACCAAATTTGCCCACTTCATCCCTATGAAGCATCCTTATACAACAGTAACTGTGGCCCAGCTGTTTATGGACAATATTGTGAAGTTGCATGGTTTGCCAAGTAGCATTGTCAGTGACAGAGATAAGATATTTGTTAGTACCTTTTGGAAGCAACTATTCAAGCTTTACAAGGTGAATTTGACACTGTCTACTGCTTACCATCCTCAAACAGATGGTCAAACCGAAAGGATTAATTAATGCTTGGAAATGTACTTGAGATGTTGCAAGATTCTCCAAAAAGCTAGAAGTCATGGCTATCTTTGGCCGAGCTGTGGTACAATACCTCCTACCATAGTGCCCTGGGCTGCTCACCATTCAAGGCCCTATATGGGTATGAGCCAAACCTGGGAGCCACGCCTCCACCCCACTAGGGATACAAATCAGGCAGTAAACGAGGTGATCTCTAATCGAGAGCGACATTTGAAGCTTCTCAAATAGAGACTCAAGCAGGCTCAGAACAGGATGAAGGTACAGGCGGATAAGAACAGATCAGACAACCAGTTTGAGGTAGGAGATCAAGTTTTGCTCAAATTGCAACCTTATACTCAGTCGTCTGTTGCCAGTCGACCATTCCCAAAGTTTGCATACAAGTTTTTCGAACCATACAAGATCCTGGAGCGAATTTGTGCAGTGGCATATAAACTGAAGTTATCGGCTCACAGTGAGATCCATTCAGTGTTCCACATCTCTAGCTCAAACCGTTTACACCTGATTACACCCCTGTCTTTTCCACGTTACCTGTACTTACTGACCTGCAGGCTACTGAGGCTGTCCCAGAACAAATTCTCCAATGCTGATTGGTCAAAAAGGGCAACACTGCTGTACCGCAAGTGTTGGTCACCTGGTCAGGATTACCAGCAACATCAGCTACATGGGAAGATCACAATGTGCTTAAGGCTCGTTTTCCAGAAGCGCCTGCTTGGGGTCAAGCAGATTCTTCGGCCGGGGGAGGTGTCAAGACTCAGGGGTGAAGGCGTATTGGGCATAAGGCGTCACCAGCAGTACATGGCGTATAAGTAGATGTGTGTTTCATGTAATAGAGTATGACTAGTGGGTCCCACGGACCAGTTGGCTACCAGCCTTATATTCTATCAAACTATTGCTTGTAAGATAATTAAGAATATTTGCTATCGAAGTAAACGGAAGACAGAGCCGTACTCTGCTCCTTCCTCGTCGCTGATATCCATCTTGTCTCTCACATCTCCGACGATCACCATCGGTGGCCACGGGTGTTACAGAGAGGAGGCTGGACTGGATGGATGGATGCTTCGAGGTCGAGGAGGAGGCAAGGCAGCACCCCAACCCCAACAGCGGGGGAGAGAATGGAGACTTCTCATGGAATCCTCGGTGGAGCTCGAAATCGTGTCCCAGAGGCCAGAGGACGACTCTCGGCCGTTGGATTTGCCTCAAGATGCGTGTTCTCCTATGGTAAGGGAAGAAAAAACTGGAGACGGATTCGAATTACAGTACTTGGGATTTGTGATGAATAAAATTAGGAAGATGCGACTGTTGGCCACTATTTGTCCAGAAAATTTCTCATTTGACACTTAAAAGATGACTTTTCTAGTGTTAACCTTTTATGCCATCAGATTGATACGGGTCGTATTATCCATGTTTCAGTTACAAGCTAATACATCATAAATTCAAATGATCAATACAAAAATATGTGCAACAAGCAAAATCCTACAATACCAACGTGTAACAAGAAAATCCTACCTATCCCGTTGTGGTTGAGAGATCAATCTAGTGAACCAGACATTAAGGGCAAAATGGGCTTTTCAGCTTGCTACTATCAGTGTTTGCTACAAAAACTATTAGGCACAGAAAATAGGCCCAGTACCATGTAGGACAGGGAAAAGTTTTCATCGCTAAATAAGAAACAAAGTTATTTTTAGTGTGAAATAGCAAAATTTCTCCAATTTATCTGCCAAAAAAGCTTACAGAAACTACAACATATGCTTCGTAATAGGGAAAGTCATCGCATCTGACATATTACTAGATTATACTTATGGTATGTTTGGCACGGCGGTATTTTTAGCACGACTCTTCTGGCCCTAGCTTGGACTATAATATATGAAGGAGCCGGAGCCGGTGAAGCTAAAAATAGCAGTTTCATCGGCTCCTAATTGATTTTATTTATGAAAATCAGCTCCTAACTGAGTTTATTTATGAAAAGCGATAAAAACAGTTTCTTGCTACATTAAGAGTACACAGATGATAGATTCTACTAGGAATCAATCGAAGCAAACACTCTACGCATACCAAACGGGAGCTTAGATTCTACTAGGTATCAATCGAAGCAAACACTCCACGGGTCCTGTGTGTTCTGACACAAGCAAGCACATTCTCCCTGATCCAAGTCGGCTCAATTTTGGCCCCGTTCGCTGGTCTGAACTTTGGCTAAAACTGGCTGAAAAACACTGTTCCGGCTAAATTGTTGTGAGAGAAAAACACTATTCCGGCTGAAAAAATAAGCCGATCAAGCCAAATTTATGTGGAAGCCGGCTCAGAAAGTGGTTCCAATTCGGCCCAATTCCGAGGAACCAAAAAGGTTCATGGGCCATGGCTGTCACGTGATGACCGACGCTACAAGTAAACGCTACACAAATTTTTCTCATGTAACAGCAATACAAACACAGTGCAAACGATTACAGGTGATGACCTCTGCTTGCTTCTCAAAACAACTTACAACTGTACTAATAATTAGAAAACGACTCAACTCATCCATATACACAGTGCAGCGACAGACTCCGTGCAGAATTAGGGTACAGAGAGGGATAGCCGGATTCAGCATCAAGCTCGATTGAACAGGACTGACTTTTCGTTTGTGAATTTGCGAAGACTCCACCGCATGGCGCCTAAAGCTGAACTCAGTTCAACGGGCGCTGACAAGGAAAGGGTGCTGACATACGCCGCATTCTATCGTCTCCGAACCAGAAGTTGGAACTTCAACCTGGAGCAAGGCAAAATTGATGTGCCATGTTCAGATGTCTATTGTCAATCAGGGCACTAGGCATCGGAATTTGGAAGAAGTGTATGGTTGCAAAACAGACCTGAAGATGGACCGTGCAGATTGGGCACGCGACCTCCCGCATTCGCTTGCCAGAAACATCCAAAGACCTTGTCCCTGTCAAGGGATAAAACAACACATTTATATTGTTAAATAGCACAACGGAGAGCATCTCTGGTATGGATTGCAGAGACGAATCCACTCACCTGAAGATGACCTTTTATTTATATCCATGGCTTCCTGTTCAAAACCACAGAATATCCTCAGTCAGTGTATATTCAAATTTTGAAAGTTAGCTACTCCCTTCATTTTTAAATACATGATGTTTAGGACAAGGTAATTAGTTCAAAAATGATGGAGTATGTATTAAGAAGTTCTGTTCAACATTTGACAAACAACTACACACTACACTATACAGGACTAAAGGAGACTGTATGCAATAAAAAGGACAGTGAAAGTGAAATAGAATTAACTCTACCCGTGGGTGATGTCTACTCCACTTGTCACTTACTAAGTTACTATGGCAATAGCCTAAAAAATTTCAGTAAAGGTGGTGTCAAGCATTTTTTTTCAATACATTAGCACCCCAGGATAATCTGGTCTCACGCGCTTAATAAAATAAAGCTGGGCAGCTGTCGTAACCAAAGTATTATCCCTTGAAAGTGAACTAGAAAGCTCTATCAGTTCAATAGAACTGTACAAGACAACAATGCTCAAAAGAATCGGAGGAACTAACAAACCTGAAGCTTTTTGGCAAGATCCTCATGGCTGTGAACAATAGGTGGATTCGCCACTTCCCTTGCATTGTTAAGTCTTTGCGTTACTTCAGCCTTTGAAAACAGGAAGGCATGATACGAAAATTAGTATAACTCATAGGGAATTGTATGTTCAGGTTGTCGACGTAGACCGCTCCAAACAGACCAGGGCATTAAAGACTTGACGAAACAACAGGTTTTATTGGATGAAAAGAAACCCACCAATCAGTGCAAGTCTTCAGTTTTTTTTACAAGAAAATGCATTAACAGCGTAAACTAACTCCCTCGTTTATTTCCCAACAGTGCAGTACGAAGAAACCAGTAGCTCCTTGTTGAGAAAAGAAATGAATGAACAATAAAGCTTCAGTGCCTCAAAGGAGCAATAAAATGTCAAACTAAACATATAGTGGTTATTCAAATATAAATATCTTGGGCCCAACTTATAAATTAACGGTATGTGCTGTATTATCCAAGTGGCATGTTTGGGTTTTCAATGTTTATGCCTTGAGCCCTCTAAGCTCAAGAAAAAATAAATCAAAGCACTAAATAAGAGCAGAGGTACTGCAATGGCAAAGGATTGAAAAAGAAAAATATTACCATGCATCTGTCACAAACTCGAACTGGTTGAGCATCAGCATCTGCATTCAGAGGAGTTCTTCCCTGGGTGCACTTATCGCAGAAAATATCACCACAGTTTCGACAGTGATGCTGAAAATATAATAGGTTTACCAAATTAAAAAAAAAACAAGGTGATATCATCAGCAAAACAGATCAATATATAACTGTTCTTACCCTGCGGTTGAAAGCACTGAAATCTGCTGCGCATGCTGTGCACTTGATGACAGCTTCATCTGGGACCTGAAAGAAAGAAAGGAGAAAACATGTATCTGATTAGAAAAAAGTGAGTCAATGAACAAATCAAGAATCAGGAAATGCGCAAACACATATTGCATGTGACATGATAAGTATGAAATCAAAAGCAGAATGCAGACAATAGTATTCAAGGCAGGCTCCACTATGATACTATCGAAAAAAAAACATAAAACCAACAATGCAATCGAACTAATAGCAAATTAGCAACAGAGGCAAACAAACATTGAGCTCAATTTGAACTTAGCTTTGCAAATTATGCAGAAATTACAGGTTTGAAATGATAGCAAGAAACAAATAGAGAGACTAATTACCCAGTGATCTTTTTCCTCATTCATAGGCTTCATTAAATTCCTCCAATCAAGGAAATTTTTCTTCCTCTCATTTTGCTGCTCAGCAGGCTTGGCTGCATCAGCAATTGCTCTACTTCTTGACATGCTGCTTCCACCCATCTCCTTGAACTGCAGTCGAAAGAAACTAACAGACATCAATCATTTCAGGCAAGTCACATATAGTGCAACAATGCAAAGTATAAAAACTATTGGATGATTTAAAATATGTTGATAACACAGATGCCAAACCTGCACAGTCGCAGCTGTGACTGTGTCAAGAATGGTGTTGGATGTATAGCTGTTTGATTTCAGCCTTATTCTTTTTGCTTCAACATCCACTGAACTCTTGGACCAAAAGGCAAAGATAGAGGGATCTAATACCTGATAAAGAGACCATAAGATCAACAAAAGAAATACTAGAATTTTGACGTTACAAAGTCGCCATAAGGACGAGTTACTTACATCCCATCTAGTTACAGTTTCAAGGGGATATATTCTTAGTGTCCTACCAGTGTTGGGATCAAGCATCCGAATTCCATCCAAACCAACCTGCGTAAGGCACAAGCAGAAAAGTATTGATTAATGACTGCTGGACCATACCAAGTATGACATGCCAAGTATAACAACATAACATTATTAACACCCTTTTCTTAAACAGGAGTTCAATGCTAACATTTACAGGTATTGGAAACCATTATTTAGTAATTTTAAACGTGAACATTTTGGCAACAACAGTCCTGTCCCAGCCTGTCCATTTTCAGTTCGGTGCAAATTCACAACCATCTGTTAATTAGGTAAAAATACTTTCCAATTTAATGATTTCATTTGAACTATTGAACACTCTAACAGCACATTTCAACAACTGTTGCTATGCTAACTACACTACAACTCCATTCAGAAACCAATTGATTTAACTACCATTTCATCCACAACATATACTACATATTTTAAACACCAACATTAGTATCCTTGCACAAGGTTCTTGCTGTTGAACTTCTGTAAAAAGAAATGGCCGCTACTTTTTATACTGTGTTAGTTATACAAACATGACAAAAAAAGACAATGTGGGGAGCTTTTCCAGCATATCATTCAGTTGACTATCAGTAAACAGAACAGCTTGACTTGGCATTTGCTCTCACCAAGCACCCACTACTGGCTACTGGTTACTTGACCAAGTTCATTTACTGCTCACGGTCACCTCATCCATTGTAAAACAGCCAATGCAACCAAAGCCAGCTCTGAATAGCTGATGCTAAGCCAGTAAGCAATGGACTACTATGAAATGCAATCAGTTTGCACACTGAATGGATCAATTGTATAGTTAGCAAATTCTATGACACAATGTTCACTAAATTCATCTTGTTCCACAGCCTCAGAACAAGCAGAGTACCTGGCAGAGCACATCCATGGGGCTCCCAGCCCCCTCCGGCAGCAGCTTGACCCTGAACTTCTGCACCCCACCCCTGACGTCCTCTGACGTCTCTGCCTTGGGCACAGCCCTCACCACCTTGGGGCTGGCCGCACTACCCCCGCGGCCACCTCTATCGGCAGCTGAGCCAATGGACCTCCCGTAGTCATCAAACAGTGCGGATCCCGAGCCCGACCTCGGTGCGGTGCCCCTGGCCCCGTACGGCTCCGGCGCGTCGCCGCCGTCGTACGCGTACGCCCCGTCGTCGGACCAACCGCCCCCGCCCACGCCCACGCCCACGCCCGCGCCCGCCGGCTTGGGCGGGTACAGCTCCTGGCCGTACCCGGAGCCAGGGCCGGATCCGTAGCCGTAGCTCCCCGTCCGATCCAGCGACGGGTACGGCGAGGGCACTGGGTTGTGCGGGAGCGGCGGCGCCGGCTCGTAGGGGTAGTACGGCTGCGGCGGCGCCGGTGCGGGCGCGGTGGCCGGCGGCGCGTAGTGGGAGAGGTCGGCGGGCGGGTACGCGGGGTACGACGGCGCGGGGGCGAAGTCCGCGGGGTAAGACGAGTACGGGGGCGCGGAAGCCGGGGCGGACACCGACGGGTAGGCGGCGGGAGGAGGCGCGGAAGCCGGGGTGGACACCGGCGGGTAGGCGGCGGGAGGCGGCGCGGCCGGGGAGGGGTAAGGAGGGTAGCAGGGGGCGTAGTCCCCCGTGCCGGAGGGATGCATCGCCGTCGAAGGGAGGGCTCGGATCGGGGAGTGGGCGAGGCGAGGCGGGGCTGGCGGAGGGCGGAGGCGACGAGGTCGTCGGAGACGAGACAGGAGGAGGAAGGAGACGAGACGACCGGTGGTTGGTGGTGGCGCGATTTTGCGAAATGGACCTCCACAGCTGAAGCACTTGCGGATACGGGCCTTTCCTGTCTGAGAGAAATGGTCTGCAGGGTGTGGATTGAAAGATTGAGCCCCTCAGTGATCAGCCAGTGTGCATGTGAGAATAAATTGTGTTCATGTGGCTGGGACTGGAATGAATTATTTGGATCAGGGATCGGTTGCCTCTGATTAGCATGACAGTGTTCAGCAAACTGATGCTAATGACAGTTTCAGGCTTGAAGTAATCTGGTGAAAAATGTTGCTCTGGTTGACTGGTTGGTTGTATTATTTAATTTAATACTTGTTTTAGATACAGAAGATAGACTGAAATTACCACTGAAATAGGCATTTGGAATGCTGGAAAAATTCCTGAATCCTACATTTTCCCTGTGAAGTTTTTACATGATTTTTATAGAAATTTCACAGGAATCAATTCAATTTCACGGGAAAATACAGGATTCAAGATTTTTTCCGGCATTCTAAAGGGGCCTGAAAATGCAATGCTCTCTTTCCCTCAACAAACACACAAGCTGCAGCTTCCATTTGCTCACCAAACACACAAACTGCAACCACAACGCATTGCCGCACCCATGCATGTTTTCTATCTCTGCCACCTGCTCTGCAAGTGCAAGTGCTCTCCTTTGCTGCACAGTTACACAGGGCTAAAATACAATCTGCGGCTGGCTGGCTGGCATGAGGGGCTTACATTACATATGCAGCTATGTCAGATTCAGCAACATAACCAAGAAATGAAACCATTGGTCTAGGTAAGAGAGATCATTCATGCATTGCATCAGGATTATTAGTTCCATGCATGTCGATCGGCTCTGAACACAAGCATATTCAAATAACAGACAGTGAAGGCAACACAAACTTCGCTGGAAATTTCTAGGCAAATGCAAGCAAAAGCAAACTTGATGCAAGGCTGATGAGGAAAGCCCAACCAAACCCTGTCCAAATGCATACACCCTAAATTTCAACACGACGTGATCGCCGAAAGAGGCAACTTGCACTATTGCTGAGGGAGTTGCTTTCTTCATTCGGCAGGCGATAGGATATTAAACTAGTCGGTAACCATCATGGTTAGACAAAAGCTGGTAATCGACTTAATCCTATGTCAGCACATGGCAAGATGAACACTGCACTGTCCAATGAAAAGGAGAAAGAAATCACCAATCAGAGCATCAAACACATACATCTGGACCGGGTAGTAATACGATACCAACAGCTGCTTATATTGTTTACACCAATTATTATGTGATTGTAGCAAGCTGCTCAGTTTATTTTTAGTAGGTGTGTGTGTATCAGTTAGGCGATGCATAGTTATATTGTAGGCATGGTGATTCATCTAAGCAAATTGCTTTCCTTAATGAAAAAACAAATGTTGGTGTGTACCTTGTTGATGTCAGAACTCTGAAGACTGTGGCTAGTAGCTTTGCTGAAAGACCAAACCGAACAGTATTTTTGTCCACAATAATTGCAGCAGTATTTTGCATCTTCACTTCATTTGATCCAACTCCATCTGAATCATTTGATCCAACTCCATCTGAATGTTTTCAGAAAAAAAAATAACACATGCTGCGCTGGATCACTCTCTACAGTTAGTTGCTAATATTTTATTTCTCATTGCTGTGTTCTATTTGCAGCTGTGCAGCAGCTGATGATGTACATGTTTGTCACTTTCCATAGGGGCTGAGAGAGTAGTGATGTGGCTGGTGCTTCTTCTTTACAAGTATACATCCTATGGTCGGCAAATACAAACATATCTTGCCCATTATTCATTACAACAAATCTAGAATGCTTGCACGTCTTTTGTGCCTCAATAAAAGTAAATGCACGGCAAGGTCAAAAGCCTCAAGGTGTTTCTTAATGATCAGGTGACGACATTTGCAGCTAACTTCCCTGAAAACGATGTTGATTAATTCACATATTTTTTCGCAAACATCTCGAAGGCTCGCTTCGGTTTGGCCTGGCTTGGATTTTGGCAGATGATTGGGGGATTAGAACAAGCCTTAGTGTTTGTTTCGGAAACAGATAGATGAATTTTAAAACAAAGGTCAGGACAAAGGTGAATTTATTAGGTTCTGGGATAGGTGGAAATATCTTGCACAAAGATGAGGCCAAAGTTTCAGACATCACACAGAGCTAAAGAAACGAGATAGAATATGCACATTTTTATCAAGGCAACCACTACACCTGGTCCTGCAGAAATCCCCAAGTGCTTTGCCACGCTTTTGACTCATCATCTCCTATATATATTTGCACTGCAGCTGCAGCTAGCTAGGCCATGCTCTGAAATCTGAATACTGCAGAAAAAGCGCCGCCGAGTGTGATAAAGAAGACTACTTCCTGCGAAATATCTCTGCATTGGAACATGGATTGGATAGATAAAGATGGCCAATGTGATCTGTTTGGTTGGGTCAATGCGTCGGTGATGATGAGATGGGATTACGAGTCAATTTTATGCTGCGATATCTATATACATATTAATTGTCGTGGTGCAATGATCTGTCGACAGAATGAAGTGGTTTCAGAACTTTGCATGCTTTTGATTACAGTCGGCATCCGGAGGGTCATCAGACAGCAACTCGACCTCAAAGTTTTAATGCTTACACACTAGTAAATATCTATGAACTCATCTATCCATGATATCTCAGTCAATATAATGTTGAGTTATTATATATAGAGTTGTAAAACTAAACTCTGAATGAGTGTGGTACAGCAAGTACTGTCCCTTAGTGCCACCTAAACTACAAGTAATAAGACAAAGTGCCAAAGGCGATGGATCTTGGGAAAGAAATGGAAAGGAAGGCGAGGTCCAGATAAGGCTATTAGAAAGGGATGCCCGACCCAGAGTCCCAGATGACACGTACAGTTCACTTGTAACGTTGATAAACTAGTACGGGGACCATCCTGCTTGCTCGATGGTCGCTTTCTCCAACTCCAATATGCAAGGATATGAACCAAAATTCTTAAAAGGAAAATAAAAGATTTATGAGCTAAACAACAGGAGTGGACATGTATTTACATGGTGTAATATGTCATGGTGAGCTAGCAAGCATGCGCAGCCGTCGTCCCAGACATATCGATCTCTAATAAGTTCATGGCCTGATGAAAATTCTTAGCATCATATCGATCTCCTGATCGAATCGAAGTGGTGGATTTAGCCAACTGCTGACTGCCTCCGTCCCAGACATGATTATTAGATGCCAATTAACAATTAATTAGCCTATCGGGAGCCGCCGCAGCCGCAGCTGGTAGGAGTATATATGTAATTAACAAGCATGCAGGCATACGACACAGGCTGCATCAGCATCAGCATATAAATACTCCTACAGGGCCATGAACTATCTCACCGCGCGCCTGCAAGCAAAGCCATTAGCAGCTCAGTGGTCAGTGCTGCTGCCAAAGCTAGCTGAGCTGCACCCCAGTTTCCAAGCAGCAGCATAGCAGGAGCCAAAAATAGAGGAAGCACTACTAGCGATTACACATATCCAAGCAAGCACCCTAGTGTTGTTGCTTGTTGGTGCTCTCTCTTTCTCTCCTTCGTCTCCTTATCTATCCGTCATGGCGGCCAACTACCACCACTACCAGATGGCGGTACACGCGGCGGCGGCGGCGGCAGCGTGGAGGGAGCCGGACAGCCCGCAGCTGAGCTTCATGAGCGGGTGCAGCTCCCTCTTCTCCATCTCCACGCTGCAGGACGACGACGACGACAGAGCCGCCGCCGCCGTCGTCATCGCCGGCCACGCGCTGCCCTCCACGCCCGTCTCGCTCGCTGGGTTCGCCGCCGGCGACGACGTCGACATGGAGGTGCAGCAGGCCAGCGGCGACGACCGGAGGAGCATCAGGATGATGAGGAACCGCGAGTCCGCGCTCCGCTCCAGGGCCAGGAAGAGGGTCAGTACGTATACACCAAGTATTTTAGCACAGTTGCATTTTCTCTAATTAAAGATTATGATGGCAACGTCAAAAATAGCTGAAAGTCTGAAACTTCCAAATCCATGAAGTTTCCTGAAAACATTGCATATACGACTACCATATACCTATGAAAGCATATAAAGCCATGCATGCTTCAAAATATTTCTGTCACTATTGCAACCTCACTGTTTTGGAGAACACCTTTTCAAGCTTATAAAGCATTTGGTACCTATCACGAAATAATAAAGTAGTAACAAGTATGGTACAGCATTACAGCTTTGCTCCCCATAGATAGTACATCCCAATTCCCAATATATGCGTATACTATACTGGTATGTGACAGAGAACCTTTGGAGAGGTGGTGACTGATGACTAGTGAGCTAATTTGGTCTCTGAGTTAAAAAAGTGTGAGTTTATAAAAGTTTAAATAAATGGAATGCGTGGTGGCCCTTTCCATCATGCATATATATTGAGTTCCTGCCAATAATTTCTTAGTCAACATGGACTAAACATGTATATCTCTTCTCTGAGTGCCACCAAATCCATCCTAATTACTCCCTCAGTCCCTAAATAACTGTTGTCGTTGGTGTACGTGCCGTAAGTTTAACTCGATTGGTAGAAAATACGTGCAACATTTGTATCTTCAAATAAATTTATTAAAAAACTAGATTCAAAGATCTTTCAAAGATACTAATATGTATCATAAATATTAATATTTTTTAATATATATTTAGTTAAAGTTGTTTCTCGGAAAGCGAAAACGACATATATTTAGGGAGAGAGGGAGTACATAGTTGAACGACACACATATATATCATCTATTGTTTCAATAACAAGTTGGATGGTTATCACTCTATCATCCCAGTAGAAAATCCCCCCCAAAAAAAAAAAGGTTAACACTGATCATGATGAGTTCAGTTGTACCTGCTCTCCAAGCCTAAGCACAAAATCCTCAATCAAGAGAAAACAAGAAAACAAAGAAATTTCAAGCACCAAGGGCTCACACAGCGACACGAGTACGCTTGTGCAAACTTCGTTAGAATATTCCCTGGTGACCATGGCATCTGCATGTCCATTCATATTGGAAGTTTGTGATTGTTTTTTTGTTCCAGTTTTTGGATAGTATATATGCAGAAGTGTGTGATTATTATTGGTTGGATTACAGATCCAAATACCAAAAAAAAATCCAAGTTGCCATATGAAAATAGGTAGTTATAACTTCAGGATTGCGTCAAATTAACCACTACAATTGGTTACGTCTTCTTCCTCGTAGGCGGCTTACGATATCTATAAGACTACATAGAAGTACAGACTAATACAGTCTCATGGTAATGCTTATGTAGTTTGTGCTGTCTCTAAACATAAATAATTATTAAAAGGACATGTGTAACAATATAATTTGATCAAAACTAGGTCAATGAAAACCAACATCTCAACCAGCACAATCAATCGTACGTTGACCTGAAAATGAAAGGTCTATGTGTTAATTGTAGCTCGATTATTTTTACCAAGTGATTTGTTTGTGTGCAGGCATATGTGGAGAATCTAGAGAAAGAGGTTCGCCGGCTGGTGGATGAGAACTTGAAGCTCAAGAAGCAGTGCAAAGAGGTGCATGCTAAAACATATACTGAAAATCATGCATGTCAAAAAGCATGCCTTGTGTTTCTTTTGGTGGTCAATGTGATGAACACTTCTTTTTTGCTGCACAGCTGAAACGGGAAGTAGCGGCACTGGTCCTCCCAACCAAGAGCTCACTTCGAAGAACCTCATCCACCCAATTCTGAAGGGACAAAGAAACATGAACATATATATTTAATAGTAGTACAAAGTTAAGAGAAGCAATGGTTGGACTCGTGTGTACATTTTCAGTGTTAGTGTTTGTTTGTGTGAAATAGGGCAAGGGCAGTGGCGAATCCTAGAAAAATTTTTAGGGAGGGCTGAACAAAAATGCGACAGCAACATACCTCCGACTGCTGCTCGATCTTAAGTCTCAGCCCCACCTACACAATAGAACTTTGCCTAAAAATTTATGTGGGCTCCAAGGGGCTCTAGGGCTCCGGTATCGGTAGGGGGACCGTTGAATCCGCCGCTAGGCAAGGGGAGATAGATTGGACATTATGTTATGATATGTATCTTTTTTTTTAACACCCAGAGCAGTCTCAAGCTTGCCAAATCTACCATCCCACAAGTCTAACATGCTTTAGACTCCGTGGCGACATGAGTTCAATTAGATGCCTATGATAATCCCTGCAGGCTTCTGCGTTCACCATCAAAGCCAAGGAAAGAGACTTGGGCCAAAAGAGGGAACTAGACTTAGCATTTTGCAGATCAAGCCAACGGAAAAACTGAGAATGTTTTAGGCCTGAAATCCGTGCCTACGGCCTAGTGCTCTTGGGCTGGACTCCACCTGCTAATTTTAAGTTAAAAGGTAACTACGAAAACTATTTTGGGCTTGGTTTCCTCCGTCCAGGCCCAACCCTAGAATAGCTGTGGACCAGGCTTAGCCCACTGAACTCATGCTAGCATAGTTTTGCTGAGTTCCAGAGGGGACAAAGGGTTAGGTAAACAAAGTCTACCTTGTATTTGCCTTACTTGTTGGGTTCACGACTCAAATTAGGCCTCCTAGTGCCACAATTCGAGTTGATTAGTGTCCAATGTAACACCATAGATTTCAGAGTTCACGTACAACTTTTTTGACCCCCTAGGGCACCGCTAAGTCGTGTTGTATTAAATTTTTTCTCTACCTTAATACAAAGACGCACAAACCTTTTGCGTGATCGAGAAAAAAATACTACCAAAAACATAACTATTGAGGCTAAGGGCCCATTTGCTAGGGCTCTGCATCAGTTACAAATGGCTAGAGTGCTCTGGCTCTAATAGAGTTTCCCAGATGGAGCTTCATTTACAAACGGCTAGGGCTCTGGCGTCTCTATTAGAATTTTCCTAGTCGAGCTAAGCCATTTGAAAAGTTTTCCCTGATGGAGCTAAGCCATTTGAAAAAACATTTGGCAGAATGACTTTAACAAGTAGGGATGAGGCTAGAGGCGGAGTGTTCGGAGTTTTTTTCTCTCTCTCGCTTCTAGTGCAAACAACTCTTGCTCCATGGGTGCTTTAGCCTTTATAGGTGCGAATCCGTTTTTGGAGTGACCATTTGGTAAGGTTTATCGTTTATGGAAAAGCCAAAACAATATAAAAGCTCTGAAGCCATGTATAAGTATCTTGTGAGAGCAAAGGCAATACAATAAAGCATGACAATATATAATAAAATGGTAGGGAATACATTATGCACAATGATCCCAAATGAAGCCCAATATGCATACTCAAGTATATAAGCTTAAAATATTAATATCGTCACGGTGCTTCTTGGTGGGCCTTCACATCGTCTTGCAGGATGATGAAGCGATCCAAGTCCTTCAGGCCACAACTTTGCCAGGAAATAAAACAAGAACGATAATAAGCCTGTTCGGCAGGCCGTAAACGATCGTGGATTATTTACTGTTGGCTGGTTTGGTGTGAGAGAAAAATACTGTTCCGGCTAGAAATTTACGATCGTATACGAGCAAGCCCAGCCTACCGAACAGGCTGAATGATACCCCTGAGCGTCCGCGTGTCGTCTGAGCGCCGCTAACACCGCCCCCACCTGTCCTCTGTGTCATCGCCGCGCCCCACTCCACTCTCTGCGCGCCACCGCCTCCGCCCCCCATCCGTCCTCTGTGTCGTCACGCCCACCCCACCCCGCCCTCTGGCGCCATCGCCCAGCTTTGTGCAGCTCATGTGTGGCGTCGCCTTCTACGCGCCGCTGAGCTCCACATTGTCGGCGAGCTCCACGCCACCGAGATCCGCGTTGCCAACAAGCTCCATGCCATCGAGATCCGCGCCACCGGCGAGCTCCACGGGCCACTGTATAGCTCTGCGTGCCAATGAGCCTCTGTTCGCCCAAGCAGAAGGAGATGTTGCTATGAAAAACTTATGTCTCAAGCCTATGTTTCAAATGTTTTCAGGTGTTTTGAGCGCATGTTGTAGGTGCTTCAGGCGCATGTTGCAGGTGTTGTGTTGCAAGGAGATGTTGCTTTGAAAGCCTATGTTGCAAGCCTATGTTTCAATTGTTTCTAGTGTTTCAAGAACTTGTTGTTGCAAGTGCTTCAGACACATGTTGCAAGTGTTGTGTTTATGGATGTTGCAACAATAATATTATACATGTTTCAATAGCAATCTGGGCATGTTTTAGTAGTACATCGCCGATGTTGTAGCAACGATATTGTACATATTTCAATAATAATCCGAGCATGTGTCATTAGTACATCACCGATGTTGCAGCGGTGGGCCCCAAGGGCATCCGTGCGGAAGCCAACATCCTCTAGACGCCGCCGCCCCCACCCGTCCTCTGCGTCGTCGCCGCACGCCCACCCCATCCTCTGTGTGCCATAGCCGCCCTCCCCCTCCCGCTCTTTGCACCATGGCCGCGTCGCATCCCGCCCTCTGTGCATCACCGCCTAGCTCCATGCAACGCTGCCTCCTGCGCGCTGCAGAGCTAAGCGTCATCGGTGAGCTCCACTTTGCCGCTGAGATCCATGCTCGGACGCTCCATCCCGAAACGTTCATGCTCTTCTGTCCTCTGTGCACTGCTGTCGTGCCCCACCCCTCTACGTCGTCGTTGGCCCCATGGCGAAATAGAGCAGCTGTAGGGCGTCCGGACTCCGGACGCTGGCGCTAGTCGTTCCAAAACAAGAATGGTACTATTTCAGTGCACGATCCACGTCATTCATCGAGTAGGCCAGTTAAGGAGGCTGGCTCATTGAGATTTTTTTTTATTTTTAACACTTTTTGTAAACTAATTTTAAATCTAACACTGTTTTATCTTTTTTCTTCTAAAACTAATACTTTTAGCCGCGTCTATTTCCCTGGCATGGCGAAACGCCTATGCCGCGCTATGCATAGTGGCACGACGAGAGGGGTTACGTGGCGACCACCGGGGCGCTAACCGGTGACGTGGCCACCCTGCCGCGCCACCAATCTTGGCGTGGCAGTGACGCGCCCTGATCGGTGGCGCGGCAGAGCCGGCTCGCCCGATCCCGCCACTGCAACACCGCCCGCGCGCTACCCACCGTCAGCGTGGCCGCCGTCGCTTCGCCCACCGCCACCGCCGTCGGTAGCGCGCCCATCGCATCGCGTCGCCGCCACGACCACGCACGCCGCCATCGCGCCGCGCCCGCCACGCACGCCACGGACGCCCACCGCGCCCGCCACCACCCTCACTGCCATACCACCGCCCTCATTGCAGGGCCCGCGACTGCCGTCGTCGCCCTCACCACCGCGGTGTACACCACTCCCAACTGCCGCACGCCCTTCTCTCCATCCCGTGTCCACCCACCGCCACCGCCGTCGAGGCCAGCGCTCGTGCCTCCTGGCCTGGTCTAGAGCGCCGCCGCCGCGAGGACGAGCGTCGCTGCCATGAGGTAGTCCCCTAGTGTATTTGTTGATTGAATCAACATTGTTAGTATAGTAAGTTAGTAAAATAAATAAAGTTAGTATAATTAGTAAAGTATAGTTAGTATAGTTAGTAAAGTTAGTTAATTTAGTTAGTCTAGGCAATATAGTAAGTTAGTATAGATAGTAAAGTTAGTTAGTATAGATAGTACAATTAGAATAGATATTAATATTACTATGGACATTACGTACGACGATTTCGATGAATTGATGAAGTTTCTTGAAATGCTTTTGTAGATGGATTGTTGTGTTAGAGTTTTTTACGGAGGAAGTGTTAGGAGAGAAGATGGTATGTTTGAGGATATGGAAAAAGAATTGGAATGGTTTGATGAACCTCCTAGCTTCAACGACCTTTGTGTCTGTTTGAATACAAAGTTTGGCGGTGATTTCACACTGGAGGGGAGATTTGATACTGGAAAGACTAGGGCACACTATGTCCTCATGCCCTTGTGCGACCCTGCTCACTGGTCCCGCTACACTAGGGTGCTCCAAGGTTCCAATGTGCCCATGGCTGAGGTGGTGGTGGAAAATGGGTACAGGATGGGGTGTCCAGGACGGGCCGTCCATTGATGGTGTTGGAGGCAATGTGAAAGAATTAGGGGTCGAAGGGGAAGCAACTTAGGGTAACATGGATTTGGACGGTCAGTTGATGCAGGAGCAGTTTCATTCAAGTCAAGTAGGCTGTATAAGCAATGATTTCGATGTGAACGAGTTCAAATTGGAAGAGGAGGAGCAGGAGGAGGATGACAGGATCGGTGATGTAGTTAGCAGTGATTCGGATGATTCAGATGGTGACCAAGGAGATAGACATGCTATGCCCACACCGGTTGATGCCATGCCCGTACCTGTTCATGGTATGCCATTACCAGTACCAACTGAGGTTTTACATGCTATCTAGGCTCAGGGTAGACTAGTCACAGATTTGCTAGCATATGATACCCCCTATGATTCATGGGGCAGAATTAGCAAAGCGCAGTAGTATGTTCCACCACCACCTTACCCAGCGACTAAGCTTGAGCAACTAAGGTCGATGAATGTACCTTTCAAGGGCATTCCGAACTATAGGGATGTCAGCATGATAGATATGGCAGTTTGTGACACCGGTCTCTAAATGTGTAGGAAATCATTGTATGACCATGAGAAAGAAACCCTTAGAAAGGGGATGATATTCAATACAATGTCAGAGATGAAGCTCTTCCTTCAGGACTATGTTGTGTATCACCATAGGATGTACAGCGTCACTCATTCAGACCAGGAGTTGAGGTACCACGTGATATGCAAAAATGGTTGTATGTGG